ATACTCTCTTGTATTGTTCCCTCTCTGCCACTCTAATAATTTAATGTTATGACTTTTTTCCGCAAAATCCTATATTTACAACTTAATCCGTTTTCAATTTGCATTGTTACACCTTTTAATTTTTTCCAATAGAGAATGGTCCCAAACTGCTTTCGTTATTTCACGTTGAACTGTTTAATGGATATTTCGTAATAAAAACAGTCGCGGAAAGTGGCCAATTTGGCTTAACATGACTTTCTTGAAAATAATCTAATCCCCTAATGCCGTATTGGTAGAATGGAGATGAAGCCAATGAAGTTAATTCAATTGTGTGTATATTTAAGTATCGCCTGTGGTTTCCCAGCTGTTTCTTTCACAAAGCTTTTTTGAAAAGGAATTTGAATAGTTTTACAAGGGATATATTTTTTTTGAAATGGACAATATATATATCAATGAAATAAGATTAAAAAGGTTAATCTGTGCTGTCTCAGAGAAACGGTGCACAATACTTCACCGATATCCAATGTGTTCTAAAATACTAACTTCAAACCCAATATTAGATTGTGATGAATCTATCAATTTGAAAAAAAAATTAAACAAGAGGCCCAGGGGCCACAGCCCTCACCTGAGCACATCTGGCTTGAATTTACTCCCCCCCCCCTCCAGGCGGTCATCATTTGGACAAACTAGAATATAAACTACCTGAGGATGATTCCATATAAATATCACTAATCATAGCTTTGAAGTACTTGAAAAGAAGATTTTAAAAGGTCCTTTTAAAACCTTAGCCCCGGGGGTCATGATTTGAACAAACTTGAATCTGCACTACCTGAGGATGATTCCACATGAGTTTCATCTTTCCTGGCCCAGTGGTTCTGGAGTAGAAGATTTATATAGATTTTTCCTATATATTCCTATGTAAAACTTGGGTCGGCCATTTTGGCCCCACCCTAGCCTCGGGGGTCATGATTTGAACAAACTTGAATCTACACTAAAATGATTCCACATGAGTTTCATCTTTCCTGGCCCAGTGGTTCTGGAGAAGAAGATTTTTAAAGATTTTTCCTATATATTCCTATGTAAAACTTGGGTCGGCCATTTTGGCCCCACCCTTGCCCCGGGGGTCATGATTTGAACAAACTTGAATCTACACTTGAGGATGATTCCACATGAGTTTCATCTTTCCTGGCCCAGTGGTTCTGGAGAAGAAGATTTTAAAAGATTTTTCCTATATATTCCAATGTAAAACTTGGGTCGGCCATTTTGGCCCTACCCTTGCCCCGGGGGTTATGATTTGAACAAACTTCAATCTACACTACCTGAGGATGATTCCACATGAGTTTCATCTTTCCTGGCCCAGCAGTTCTGGAGAAGAAGATTTTTTTTTAAAATGCCATTAATTTTTAACAAATTCGTGATTGTCTCCCCTTGGAAAAAGGTGTGGCCCTTCATTTGAACAAACTTGAATCCCCTTTACCCAAGGATGCTTTGTGCCAAGTTTGGTTGAAATTGGTCCAGTGGTTCCTGAGAAGTCGAAAATGTGAAAAGTTTACAGACAGATGGACAGACAGACGGACGGACAGACAGACGGACGCCGGACAAAATGTGTGTGTGAGCTATAAAGTGAAATGCAATACAAATTCTAAACCTTTTTTTTTTACTTTCATCCAAAATATACATGTATATAAAATTATTGAATATCTAAACAGCTTAGATTGCAAGAAAACCAAGGATATCATTTAATCATTTCCCTATTTTTCAGTTTTTGAAACTTGATATCTAATATTTTTTATGAAAAACTCTGAATTAAAAAATCTTATATCATACATTAGTTTTTTTTTTATTTTTATGCCCAGCTTTGACTTCTTTTCTGAATTATGTTTTACAATGAGCTAGCATCTTTTCATACACTAATAATTACAGTTAAAACTCCTTTTTGCTTTTTTTTTATTTGACAAATGTACAACATAGAATATAAACATATAACAAATATTATTGTCTCAGTTCTTTAACACGTGTTATGATGGTTTGTAACTTATCCTCCATTTTGCTCACAAGTTCCCTGAGGTCTTCAGAGGGTATGGACTCAGAGATAGGGTCTGTGTGTGTCAGCTATAAAGTACACAAATAGAAAGTACATAAACAGAAAGTAGACAGAAAACCAATAAATTGAAAGAAGACCAAAATGAAATACCAATTTTTAAAGTGATAATAAGGTTTCCAATTTTAATGGGCATGGAAAACTTTTAAAATGAGGTTTAAACCCTGAGATTATTATGAAATTTTCAAATAGTTGCATTTTTAAAAGTTTTTTTTTAAATCTGTTAACATTCTGAAATTCAACAAAAAGTTTTTTTCAGATAAGTACTTTTTTAATGGAGAGAGAATCAAAGTATTTAATCTCAAGCAAACACGCAGGGGGTACACTTTAGTTTATACTACTCTCATCTCAAAAACTCACAATCAGCTAGTTCCAATGACTGCTCCCCAACACTCATACATTTGTCTAATGACTTCTCCCAGTTTACTTCCTGTGTCAGACATCTTTGTGATTTCTGAAGATACTGCAAAACCTACAAACATCAGATGAAATAGTTTCATCAATTTTTCTACATGTATTCTTCCAATCAATGGTTCTATAATTGTGTGTTTGCTTCTGAAAGTTTTTTTTTTAATTTTAGGAAGATCACATAAGTACTGTGGTAGAACCTTTTGTTGTGTTTCAGGAGTCTGGGTCTCCAAACTGTTTGTCAGCTCAGCATACAACCTCCATATCTCCCCATTACTTGGCACCTGTCCAAATTAATTCATGTAATGATTTTTAAACATTTTACCTGTTTATTCAGTTTTATCTAAAAGAAGATAAGGATTTCAGGATGTTTCAATGGTCTACAAACAGATTGCAATTTTCAAATATGTACATGTATAAAAATGATTTTGATGGCTAAATATATTTTGAGTTTGATGGTTACAAATGTCTTTATGTTGTAGATAAGTCCTTTTCTCTTACTTTGGCTGTAATTCTACCAAACAGTTCCAGTAACCTGGTTTTATACTGACTGGTAGGATTCCCCTGAGGATCCCTGTATTCCCCTGTAACACCCTTCACTAGAACTGCCAGGACCTGTAATGCAGGTTCAGATTCCTCTCAAAGTTACTGATAACATTAAGGTCTACAGAGCTTCTGACAAGAGAAATAACTGAGATTATTTTTTTTTCACTTTTAGAATAATCCGTCAAATTTGTGCCCCATAAGGTATGCCAATAAATATTAAATGAATTTCTTTTGAAAAAGCATTAAAGCTATCAAAGTTTGTATAAGACAGTAATGAAGTTCGTTAAACATCTTTACAAATTCTAGTGAAATATAATTACCCACCTCTACATCGGTCCATTTTTCTTTAAGATCTATCAGGCGATGATACGCCCGAATGGCTTCATCAAACTCCCCACAGTCTGTGGCTACCTTTAATAAAAAATTCATCTCATAATTCACAGAAAAGGCTTTAATGTTTAAACCAGAAGTCTCTGTTGAGACTGTAACTCTACTGGATTGTACTTATCAAAAACCATTGCACTATTTTATGTATCTTTGTGTAGTCGACTTGTGTGCCAACTTATGAAACAAACTAAAACTGTAGAAGGAGTAGCCTTAAAAAGAAATTTCAAAAAAAAATCTATTTTTAGTAACCATGGCAACACCGTTCACCGAAATTAAAACCGATGCTCTATTTTATGTATCTTAGTGTATTCTACTTGTGTGCCAAGTTATACTGAAATCAGACCAAAACTGTAGAAGGAGTAACATTTTAAAGGAATTTTACAGAAAATTCTATTTTTAGTAACCATGGCAACACCGTTCATCAAAATTATACACCGATGCACTATTTAATGTATTTTAGTGTAGTCTTTTTGTGTGCCAAGTAATATTGAAATCAGACCAAAACTGTAGAAGGAGTAGCGTTATAAAGAAATTTCTCAGAAAATTCTATTTTTTAGTAACCATGGCAACACCGTTCATCAAAATTATAAACCGATGCACTATTCTATGTATCTTAGTGTAGTCTACTCGTGTGCCAAGTAATATGGAAATCAGACCAAAACTGTAGAAGGAGTAGCATTTTAAATGAATTTCACAGAAAATTCTATTTTTAGTAACCATGGCAACACCTTTCACAGAGCACTATATTATGTATCTTAGTGTAGTCTACTTGTGTGCCAAGTTATCTTGAAATCAGACCAAAACTGTAGAAGCAGTAGTGTTTTAAAGGAATTTCACAGAAATTCTATTTTTAGTGACCATGTCAACACGGTTCATCTAAATTAAAAACCGATGCTCAATTTTATGTATCTTAGTGTAGTCTACTTGTGTGTCAAGTTATACTGAAATCAGACCAAAACTGTAGAAGGGGTAGCGTTTTCAAGGAATTTCACAAAAAAATCTGTTTCTAGTAACCATGGCAACACTGTTCATTGAAATCAAAAACCATTGCACTATTCTATGTATCTTAGAGTAGTCTACTTGTGTGCCAAGTTATATTGAAATCAGACCAAAACTGTAGAAGGAGTAGCTTTTTAAAGAAATTTCACAGAAATTCTATTTTTAGTAACCATGGCAACACCTTTCACCTAAATTTAAAACCGATGCACTATTCTATGTATCTACGTGTAGTCTACTTGTGTGCCAAGTTATATTGAAATCAGACCAAAACTGTAGAAGGAGTAGCGTTTTTAAGGAATTTCAAAGAAAATTCTATTTTTAGTAACCATGGCAACACCGTTCATCGAAATTAAAAACAGATGCCCTTTTTATGTATTTTAGTGTACTCTACTTGTCTGCCAAGTTATACTGAAATCAGAACAAAACTGTAGAAGGAGTAGCGTTTTTAAGGAATTTCACAGAAAATTCTATTTTTAGTAACCATGGCAACACCGTTCATCAAAATTATACACCGATGCACTATTTAATGTATTTTAGTGTAGTCTTTTTGTGTGCCAAGTAATATTGAAATCAGACCAAAACTGTAGAAGGAGTAGCGTTTTTAAGGAATTTCAAAGAAAATTCTATTTTTAGTAACCATGGCAACACCGTTCATCGAAATTAAAAACAGATGCCCTTTTTATGTATTTTAGTGTACTCTACTTGTCTGCCAAGTTATACTGAAATCAGAACAAAACTGTAGAAGGAGTAGCGTTTTTAAGGAATTTCACAGAAAATTCTATTTTTAGTAACCATGGCAACACCGTTCATCAAAATTATACACCGATGCACTATTTAATGTATTTTAGTGTAGTCTTTTTGTGTGCCAAGTAATATTGAAATCAGACCAAAACTGTAGAAGGAGTAGCGTTTTAAAGAAATTTCTCAGAAAATTCTATTTTTTAGTAACCATGGCAACACCGTTCATCAAAATTATAAACCGATGCACTATTCTATGTATCTTAGTGTAGTCTACTCGTGTGCCAAGTAATATGGAAATCAGACCAAAACTGTAGAAGGAGTAGCATTTTAAATGAATTTCACAGAAAATTCTATTTTTAGTAACCATGGCAACACCTTTCACAGAGCACTATATTATGTATCTTAGTGTAGTCTACTTGTGTGCCAAGTTATCTTGAAATCAGACCAAAACTGTAGAAGCAGTAGTGTTTTAAAGGAATTTCACAGAAATTCTATTTTTAGTGACCATGTCAACACGGTTCATCTAAATTAAAAACCGATGCTCAATTTTATGTATCTTAGTGTAGTCTACTTGTGTGTCAAGTTATACTGAAATCAGACCAAAACTGTAGGAGGGGTAGCGTTTTCAAGGAATTTCACAAAAAAATCTGTTTCTAGTAACCATGGCAACACTGTTCATTGAAATCAAAAACCATTGCACTATTCTATGTATCTTAGAGTAGTCTACTTGTGTGCCAAGTTATATTGAAATCAGACCAAAACTGTAGAAGGAGTAGCTTTTTAAAGAAATTTCACAGAAATTCTATTTTTAGTAACCATGGCAACACCTTTCATCTAAATTTAAAACCGATGCACTATTCTATGTATCTACGTGTAGTCTACTTGTGTGCCAAGTTATATTGAAATCAGACCAAAACTGTAGAAGGAGTGGCGTTTTTAAGGAATTTCAAAGAAAATTCTATTTTTAGTAACCATGGCAACACCGTTCATCGAAATTAAAAACAGATGCCCTTTTTTATGTATTTGAGTGTACTCTACTTGTCTGCCAAGTTTTACTGAAATCAGAACAAAACTGTAGAAGGAGTAGCGTTTTTAAGGAATTTCACAGAAAATTCTATTTTTAGTAACCATGGCAACACCGTTCATCAAAATTATACACCGATGCACTATTTTATGTATTTTAGTGTAGTCTTTTTGTGTGCCAAGTAATATTGAAATCAGACCAAAACTGTAGAAGGAGTAGCGTTTTAAAGAAATTTCACAGAAAATTCTATTTTTTAGTAACCATGGCAACACCGTTCATCAAAATTATAAACCGATGCACTATTTTATGTATCTTAGTGTAGTCTACTTGTGTGCCAAGTTATCTTGAAATCAGACCAAAACTGTAGAAGCAGTAGTGTTTTGAAAAATTGTTTACAGACAGACAGACAGACAGACGGACGGACGCTGGACGCATTACTCTCGCATAAGCTCTTCTGGTCTCTGACCAGTAGAGCTAAACCAGAAGTCTCTGTCGATACTGTAGCTCTACTGGTTTGTACTTATATCAAAGGATGAGAAAAGAAGCCATTGCCATCAGACCAAAACTGTAGCGTTTTAAAGGAATTTCAAAGAAAATTCTATTTTGAGTAACCATGGCAACATCGTTCATCAAAATTAAAATCGAATGCAGCACTTTTTTATGTATCTTAGTGTAGTCTACTTGTGAGCCAAGTAATATTGAAATCAGACAAAACTGTAGGAGGAATAGCGTTTTAAAGGAATTTCACAGAAAATTCTATTTTTAGTAACCATGGCAACACCGTTCATCAAAATAAACAAGAGGCCCATGGGCCACATCGCTCACCTGAGAAGCTTTGACCATTCTGTTCTTTACCAGATTTCCCCCTTGCTACACATAATGCATCCCCACCCTCATTGATCATAATTTAGACATTTTGAAATCTACACTACCCCATGGTCCTTCCATGGGCACTTGTGTTTCAGTTTTTTTGGCCCAGTGGTTCTTGAGGAGAAGATTTTCAAAGATTTTTCCTATATATTTCTATATAAAACTTTGATTCCCCATTGTGGCCCCGCCCTTCCCCCGGGGTCATGATGTGAACAATTTAGAATCTACACTATACCAGGATGCTTCCACATAAGTTTCAGCTTTTCTGGCCCAGTGGTTCTTGAGGAGAAGATTTTCAAAGATTTTTCCTATATATTTCTATATAAAACTTTGATTCCCCATTGTGGCCCAGCCCTTCCCCCGGGGGTAATTTTTGAACAATTGAGAATCTACATTATTCCAGGTTGCTTCCACATAAGTTTCAGCTTTTCTGGCCCAGTGGTTCTTGAGAAGAAGATTTTCAAAGATTTTTCCTATATATTTCTATATAAAACTTTGATTCCCCATTGTGGCCCCGCCTTTCCCCCGGGGGTCATGATGTGAACAATTTAGAATCTACACTACCCCAGGATGCTTCCACATAAGTTTCAGCTTTACTGGCCCAGTGGTTTTTTTAATGATCCAACCCTATTTTTGTCTTTTCTTAATTATCTCCCCTTGCGAGGGGATATGTCCCTTCATTTTTACAATTTAAATTCCCCTTCACCCAAGAATGCTTTGTACCAAGTTTGGTCAAAATTGGCCCAGTGGTTCTTGAGAAGAAGTCGAAAATGTGAAATGTTTACAGACGGACGGACAGACGGATAGACGGACGGACGGACGGACCACGGACAAAATGTGATCAGAAAAGCTGACTTGAGCCTTCGGCTCAGGATAGCTAAAAACAAATGCACTATTTTATGTATCTTAGTGTAGTTTACTTGTGTGCCAAGTAATATTGAAATCAGACCAAACCTGTAGGAGGAGTAGCGTTTTAAATGAATTTCAAAGAAAATTCTATTTTTAGTAACCATGGCAACACCATTCATCGAAATAAAAAAACAAATGCACTATTTTATGTATCTTAGTGTAGTCTACTTGTGTGCCAAGTTATTTAAGGAATGTTTTTCAGTTTTGTGTGAGTTTTGGTGTGTGAATCACACAGACTTGTCACGTAGGCATATATCATGAAGCGCGCTAGCTATACTATCGCATAAGCTCTTCTGGTCTCTGACCAGTGGAGCTAACAAAAAGGGGGGCCAAACTATAATAGAAACCCTATATAGTTCTTTGAGAGTTTTCCTCTCTTGATGCAACATTTGTGCAAGTTTGGTTTAAACAATGTTATAAAAACCTTATAGCTTTTTGGTAATAGACCTGCACCCATAACTTTTACCTGGTTTATTATCTGAATATGTATGTCGAATTC